TGAATGCCGCTCGAAGGAGCACACCACACTACATAAAAATAAGCACGGTAAAAATTGTGACAGGGAAGGCATGATAGGAGGATATAGGGAATTTGAATAGGCCAGGGCAGAAGGGGAGATACCACAACTGTTTAGCACACGTTTGGTCAAAGGATGGGCTTCACTTGTCTCTTTGACGAGTTGTTGTATGGTGCTAAGATTGGCGAGACTCACTAACCATGCCGACTGCGATGCCGGCGAAACGTTTGGGAAGGTACCACGTCCACGGTTCAACTTTGGAAATGATCATGCAGACAATGGACTCCGGAGTGGGTGCGTTCCTCTAAGTCTTCCTACCAATATCACCATGTTGTGAAAACAAGGTCAAACAACTTCTTAGAAAATATAGTTACTGTGACTTTTTAATGAAAACTGGACTTTTTAAAAAATTGTTGTCAACACAATGGCAACTAGCTTACATCACTATTCACTTTTCCTTTTCTATCTCATTGTTTCCGTTTGGTTGATTTTCTTACAGATGCAGAAAAAAATTATATTTACTTTAATACCTCAAATTATGAGCTACGAAGCTAAATAAAATTAAACTATAGTTTAGAGTGGAATAGGCACTGATTAAGGAGTTTGTTTTTTAAGGAACACGGACTAAAATAAGCATCTCATACGTTCTAATCCTTTTTTGACTAATCTACTGTTTATACCAATTACATGCTCCATTTTATCAGACTCCTGATTACAAGACAACTCTGTTTTTATTCATGAATGTGTATCCATTGGTATATAACTATATTTGATGGTCGTAATATTAATTATTTTATTCAGTTTCAATATATGCTCCGTATGAATTATCATCTCATTCATATCTATATTATTACCTACCATTTTCTGTAGGGACCGTGAAAAGGAAATAGCTAAACGACAAGCTACTAAAGCCTACATTGAAGAATTCAAGCAAATGCGCGAAAAATGGAGGCAGGCAGAAGAGGCTCGTTTGGCTGAAGAAAATGCTCGTATTCGAGCTTATATGGAAGAGCGAAACCTCAGGATGTCAGAGCATTCCAACCAAAAACTGGCGCGTATGGCAAACATGGAGGCATTGCAGGCAAAGCTGGCTAACGAGCTAAATCTCCGAGAAAATGAGCGCCATGAGATGGAGGAGGTACGCCAGACCCTGGCAGTGGCTGAAGAGGAGGCTAAAGCACGCAATAAGGAAGCAGAGGCATGGGAGCGCCGCTTGCGCCAACGCCTTGAGATCCTCGACGATCGTCAACGCTCCATTGCTGAAAAAGCCAGGTTTAAAGAGGTTCGTCGGTATTTTCAGCAGTCTTTTGCATTTTTCTTGATTGCCTTTATTCCACTCTTAAATGCATCTATACACACCTACAAATACATACTCACACAGAAACATAAATATATATATATATATATATGTATGTATATGCACAATAAAACTGATAAAAATGATTAGTAAAAGCTTGGTTAAAAAATTTTTTGTAATTTAGTGGGGCTCAGCCTTTTATTTTGAAGTAAAAGTTTGTTGGGAAATATCAGTTAGTTGCTTTTACTTGAAACCTAAGGAGGATCGCCCTATTGGATGTTTCCACTGAAGAGATCCTTTCA